ACACTGGGTTCTAGTCCGGTCGAGGTGCCAAATTCTGTCCCGGTTGCCCCTCTTCCAGTCCAGCTCTCTGCTCTGGCCCAGGAGTGCAGTGGAGGATGGCCCAAGTCCTTGGGTCCTGCACCTGCATGGGAGACCAGGAGAAGCACCTGGCTCCTGGCTTCAGATCAGTGTAGTGCGCCAGCTGCAGCAGCCATTGGAGGGTGAACCAATGGTAAAGGAAGACCTTTCTCTCTGTCTCTCTCGCTCTCACTGTCCACTCTGTCCGTCAAAAAAATAATAAATAAATAAATATAAACAAACAAAATGCTCCAGTGAGGGAGAGGGAAGTTAGCTTAGTGGATAGAAAGATCATGTCCCAGGTCAGAGTACTTGAGTTTGATTCCCAGTTCCGGTTCCAATTTCCTACTAATGCAGACCCTACGAGGCAGCAGTGATGTTCAAGTGACTGGCCTCCTATTGCCCACGTGGGAGACCTGGATTAAGTTCCTGATTCCCAACTTTGACCCCAGCCTCGCTTCAGGCATTATGAGAATCAGGAATGAATGAGTGGGTGGGAGCTCAGGAGCTCTGTTTCTCAAAGATGGCAGGAAGAGAGGGAGGGAAGGGAGAGAGTGGGGGAGGGTGGAGAAGGAAGGGAGGGAGGGAGGGAGGAAATGCAGGAAAGAACAAGAAAGAAAGAAAGCCTGGTTTAAATTTAACTGAAAAGTGATCCCTGTTAAATATAAAAGTGGGAGTAAGAGAGGGAGGAGATCTACAATTCGGCACATGTTCACTTGGACTTATCCCTAAAGGTAGAGTTAGAAACGTGCCAGGGGATTCCAATTCAATCCCATCAAGATAGCAACGGGGCTGGTGCTGTGGTGCAGCAGGTTAACGTCCTGGCCTGAAGTGCTGGCATCCCATATGGGAGCTGGTTCAAGTCCCGGCTGCTCCACTTCTGATCCAGCTCTCTGCTATGGCCTGGGAAAACAGTATAAGATGGCCAGTCTTGCTCCTGCACACATAGAGCTGAGAGCTCCTGCTCAGTCAGCTCTGCTGTGCAGTCATTTGGGATGACATGATGAGATCTCTCTCTCTCTCTCTCTCTCTCTGCCTCTCCTTCTCTGAGTAACTCTTTCAAATAAATAAAATAATTCTTAAAAAAAAAAAGTGGCATGTACCAATGCCATCTCACTAGTCCAAGTGATCAGTTTAAGTTCATAATTGATCATAATGATAGGATTAAGTGTCAAAGGGATCACATAAACAAGACTAGTGTCTGCTAATAATAACTGATGGAATTAAAAAGAAGAGAACGATCCAACATGGGAAACAAGATACACAGCAGACTCATAGAATGGCAGATGTCCTAAACAGCACACTGTGGCAAAAAAAAAAAAAAAAAAAAAAAAAAAAAAAAAACCTAAATGAAAGATCTCTGTGAATGAGATCCCAGCGGAAAGAACGGGCCATCAAAGAAGGAGGTACCTTTCTCTGAAGGGAGGAGAGAACTTCCACTTTGACTATGGCCTTATCTAAGTAAGATTGGAGTTGATGAACTCAAGAGGCTTCCATAGCCTTGGCAGCTCATGACAAGAGTCTCAGGTGATTACTGACGTCATAAATAAGAGTATCAATTGTTAAATCAACAACAGGAATCACTGTGCACTTACTCCCCATGTAGGATCTCTGTTCTTAATGTGTTATACTATGTGAATTAATGGTATAACTAGTACTCAAACAGTACTTTATATTTTGTGTTCTGTGTGGGTGCAAACTGTTGAAATCTTTACTTAGTATATACTAAGTTGATCTTCTGTATATAAAGACAATTGAAAATAAATCTTGATGAAGAATGGGATGGGAGAGGGAGTGGGAGATGGGATTGTTGTGGGTGGGAGGGTGGTTATGGGGGGGGGAAGCCACTATAATCCAAAAGTTATACTTTGGAAATTTATATTTATTAAATAAAAGTTAAAAAAAGAAAAAGAAAATAAATCAAGTATAGCAAATAGAAAAAAAGAAAAAGAAAGCCAGAAAATAAGTTTTGGCAAGGATGCAGAGAAAATGGGACTCTTGGGCAACATTGTAGACTGATACAGCCACCATGGAAAAAAAATAAGGCAAGGCCAGCACTGTGGTGTGGTAGGTGAGACTTCCACCTGTGGTACCGGCATCCCATGAGGGCACTGGTTCATGTCCCAGCTTCTCCACTTCCAATCTCACTCCCTGATAATACTCCTGGAAAAGCAGTGGAAGATGGCCCAAGTGCTTGGGCCCCTGCACCTACGTGGGAGACCCAAAAGAAGGTCCTGACTCCTGTTATCGGATCAGTACATCTCCAGCCATTGCGGCCATTTGGGGAGGGGGGATTTAAAATAGAATTACAATGTGCTTTATCAAGACCATTCATGCATATATACTAAAAAGAATTGAAAACAGGGTTAGCATTATTGACATTACCCAAAAGGTAGGAACAACAAAGTGTCCATAGACAGATAAAAGTATAAACACAGTGTGGCACATGTGTGCAATGAGCATTCATTATTCAGTCTTAAACATGAAACTCTGACACATGCTACAACATGGATGAATCCTGAAGACATCATGCTAAGTGAAATACACTAATCATGAAAGGACAGACACTGTACAATTCCAGTTATATGAGGTACCTAGAGAAATCAAATTCATAGAGACAGAAGGTCAAGTGGTGATTGCCCTTGGTTTGGGGAAGTAATAAGTAGGGAGCTGTTATTTGATGGATGTAGAGTTTCAATTTTGCAAGATGAAAAGGAGTTCTGGAGATTCATTATACAACAATGTAAGTATACTTAGCACCACTGAACTCTATACCTAAAAATGGTTAGGCTGGTAAATGTTATTACTATATGTAGTTTTCCAAAATTAAATATAGAAATAAATCCATCAAGTCAGGAGCCGGTGCTGTGGCACAATAAGTTAATCCTCAGCCTGCAGCTCCAGTATCCCATATGGGTGCTGGTTCTAGTCCTGGCTGTTCCTCTTCTGATCCAGCTCTCTGCTATGGCCTGGAAAAGCAGTAGAAGATGGCCCAAGTCCATGGGCCCCTGTGTGGGGGACCTGGAAGAAGCTCCTGGCTCCTGGCTTTGGATTGGCCCAGCTCCAGCCATTGCAGCCATTTGGGGAGTGAACCAGTGGATGGAAGACCTTTCTCTCTCTCTCCCTCTCTCTGTCTGTAACTCTACCTCTCAAATAAATAATAAATAAAATCTTTTAAAAAATAATCCCAGGAATACGAAAAAATCTGAATAGACCAGTTACCAAGAAAAATTTGGGAAAGTTATCAAAAATCAATCCTTCAAAAACAAATTCAAACCTCCAACACTATTTAAGCCACTCTAGAGAATGTCTTAATTAGTTTAACTAGCATGAATGACATTGGTAGTAAACCTGATAAAGACAGAACTAAATCAAAAAGTCTACAGTTCAGGGGCCAGCATTGTGGTGCAGCAGGTACAGCTGCTGATGTGACACCAGCATCCCACATGGGAGCTGGTTCATGTTCCAACTGCTCCACTTCCGATCCAGCTCCCTGTAAATGGTCCAAGTATTTTGGCCCCTAACACTCATATAGGAGACCCAGAAGAAGCTCCTGGTCCCTGGCTTTGGAATGGCCCTTGCAGGCCTTTGGGGAGTAAACCAGAGGATGGAAGGTCTCTCTCTCTCTCTCTCTCTCTCTCTCTCTAAGTCTGACCTTAAAATAAATAAATAAATCTTTTTTTAAAATCTACACTTCAATCTCAATAGTAATAGCAAAGCAAAAATCTTGATAAAATTGGCCAGCGCCATGGCTCACTAGGCTAATCCTCCACCTGCCGCGCCAGCACCCCGGGTTCTAGTCGCGGTTGGGGCACCAGGTACTAGTCCCGGTTGCTCCTTTTCCAGTCTAGCTCTCTGCAGTGGCCCAGGAGGGAAGTGGAGGATGGCCCAAGTGTTTGGGTTCCTGCACCCACATGGGAGACCAGAAGGAGGCACCCAGCTCCTGGCTTCAGATCAGAGCAGCGCTGGCTGTGGCAGCCATTGGGGGAGTGAACCAACGGAGGGAGGAACTTTCTCTCTGTCTCTCTCTCACTGTCTATAACTCTCTCTGTCTCTCTCTCTCACTGTCTAACTCTGCCTGTCAAAAATTTTTTTAAAAAATCTTAATAAAATAAGGCCGGCGCCGCGGCTCACTAGGCTAATCCTCCGCCTTGCGGCGCCGGCACACGGGGTTCTAGTCCCGGTTGGGGCGCCAGATTCTGTCCCAGTTGCCCCTCTTCCAGGCCAGCTCTCTGCTGTGGCCCGGGAGTGCAGTGGAGGATGGCCCAAGTCCTTGGGCCCTGCACCCCATGGGAGACCAGGAAAAGCACCTGGCTCCTGGCTCCTGCCATCGGATCAGCGCGGTGCACCGGCCGCAGCGCGCCGGCCGTGGCGGCCATTGGAGGGTGAACCAATGGCAAAGGAAGACCTTTCTCTCTGTCTCTCTCTCTCACTGTCCACTCTGCCTGTCAAAAAAAAAATCTTAATAAAATAATAGAAGCAATTGCAATTGACGACACCGTTATGACAAATGCAAGGATAACTCAATATTAGAAAATGTAGGCAGGTGCCACGGCTCAATAGGCTAATCCTCCACCTGCAGCGCCGGCACCCCAAGTTCTAGTCCAGTCGGGGTGCCAGTTCTGTCCCAGTTGTTCCTCTTCCAGTCCAGCTC